ATCAGGATGTGTTTTTTGGGAGGGAACTGGCTGGATTTATGGGCACAGGACACTAGGGCCTCAACAGACTGAGCACCCTTTTGGGGCTTCCACGCAAAGCCCTCCACCTGCAGGGGGTGGGGGTTGTGCCAGTGCTCCAGGTGACAAGCAGGCCTGGGGGAGGGAGAAGGAGAGGTCTGGAAGCAGAAGGAGCAGAGCTCCTAGAGGTCACCCAGGCCTCTCACCGGCATCTTGGATAAGCAGGTGCAGCCTGAGCAAGGCAGGGTAGACAGTGATGGGATTCTTCGAAGCCCGGCTTTGCTTACTGCAGTGACGGGAAGCTGCTTCCTTCTACCTCACCCTGAATGGCTGTCTTCCCGGGGCTTCCTCTTGGAACCCAGTCTTGGTGGTGGGGCTGTACTTCCTGGTCCATGACAGCACTCAAAGCGTGGGAACAGGGTGAGCCTGAGCCCCACCCATGAGTTGGGGGTCAGATGGGATCCCCATGACCTCATCCTCCCACCCTCACCCCCACACAAACACTTCCCACTAGGCCTGCAGCCTTCCTGCCTCTGGCCCTTTAAGGCTGGGGCAGGAAGCCCCTCCCCATTTAGGGCAATAAATGGACACATAAAATGGCCGAAGGCCTGTTTGCTGGTGTCTGGCCAGAGGGAGGCCTGTGAGGGCAGGGGGGTAGGGGGCAGGCTGGCAGGGGGCAGCCAGCAGCCACTCTGGGCCTTTGGTGTGTCCCCCCCCCCCCCAAACGAGATGCTGAATTCCTGTCCCATTAAACCCCCAGCCAGGGACCGGGCCAGGCGGGGATTGGCACCAAGTCAGGGCAGGGTAACCCGGCGGGACCAACCTTGCAACACAGGCTGTGTGCCTGGGAGGGGGAGGGGGCGGCCGGGCGTGGGCCTGGCAGCTGAACCTGGGCACTAGGCTTGCTTTGTGACCTTGGACCAGCCGCCCACCCTCTCTGGGCCTGGTTTTGCTCCCCTGGTTTCTTCCTTGGGCACCATGACCCACTTCCTTGACACAGAGTGGGTGGTGAGGTGGCTGGAATAACATTCAGAAATGAAGTTCAAAAAGCCCCTCATCCACAAGGGGGAGGCGAACAGCCTTGTTGGGGTTGCACTGGCACATAGTAGGTCCCCAGGCAATGTTTGCTGAGTGGATGAGAGTGGGACTCTGGACCTAGAGCACCCCCAGCCCTCTTGCCACTGTCATGACCCTTGAGGAAACTGAGGCACAGAGGGTTGCTGCCTCTTGCCCAAGGTCACCCAGCTTGGAAGTGGAGGAGTTGGGGTTTGGATCTGGGCTGCCAGGCCTGGCATGTAGTAGGTGTTTAATGTTTCTTTGGTTTCTTTTTGTATTCTCTGGGTCGGGGAATGCAGGGGTCTTGACCCCCTAATGAAGCTGCCCCTGTCCCAAACACTCCTCCAGGAAGGCCTTGGCTGGTGATGACCTGCCTACCCCCTGCTGGCCATCCCCTCTTTTTCCTGAGGAGTGTGGGTGGGAGGAGGAGGCCCAGCCCCAATCCTCACCTTTTGCCTGACCTTGGAAAGCCGCCTGTTAATGCAGCCTCTCCTTCCCCAAGTCCCCTCTCCTAAGCACCCACCTCCAGTCTTTTTCCTCTGCTGTCCCCCATGCCGGGACACCCTTCCTATGATGTTGGGGTCCTTCCTGGGTGACACTTGCTGCTCCTGGGACCAGGTCAAGGCATTTCTGACCTCACCCCTGTGTCCCTGCTGTTGAGAGGCAGCAATTCAGGCCAGCTCAGAGCGGAGTCTTAGTCCCCACCTGGCTGCTAGTCTGGTCATCTCTCCAAGCCTCTCCTCCTCTGTAAAACCCAGGGCTTTATTGTGGAGAGGATGAAATGAAGGTGCCTCTCCAGAGGAGGTCCTGCCTCCTAAGTGATCCTAAGTTAGATGGGAGGTGGAAGCAGCGCTGTCCCCGGGTCCTGGGTGTGTCAGTTAGCTGGGTGGGTGGGGCTGGGTGTGGGCTCTCTCCAGCCCATAGCGTCTTTGGTTCTTGTTGAATGCTGTGCTCCTACTGTGCGCCACCCAAGGGAGGGCCCAGCATAGGGGCCTAGGAGTGGCCCAGAGGGAGGAGGGCACCCCACTTCCAGCCCAGGAGGAGCCTGCTGAGGCCTGCCCCTTAGCTTGAGGAGTCAACAGAGGCCCCGGAAATCCCAGGAGGGCAGGCTCTCTGGGGGGTGGAGTTGTGATGAAGGACAACCCAGGTGATCCTGAGTTCTGGGGACCCTAGCACTGGCTGTCATGGGGGTGGTACTTTCCTGGAGGAGAGAAGTTTTGTTGGATTGTCACTACCAAGGAAACCCCCACTTTCAGAGTACCTACTAGGTGAAGTTCTCCTGTTGAGACAATCCCAGGGCACACAGTGGGTGTTTTCCTTCCAGGCCCCACCTGACCCACCAAGAGGGCTCAGCTGTCCTTTTCCCATCTAATAGGCTCTTCCACTTCTTTCTTAGAGGGAGAACCCTGAGAGACCCAGATGGGGCAGTGGCTCTGGGCATGGTAGGCAGGTGAGATGTGTTCCTGGAGAGAGGGTGTGGGTCAGGTGTCTGCAGAGCCAGTTTAGTTTCCAGGGTGAGGAAAGAGATGATGGCTTGTTGGGTAGGTCGGGGGCCAGCCTCTGACCTCTATCAGCTCTTGGACCCCAGAACCTATGGATCAACCTTGCTGGGCACCCTTTGGCAGGATTTTATAAGTCTCTGGGCCTTGGTTTTCTCATCTGTAAAATGGGGGATCATGCTACTCTCATGGGGACTTTCCTTGGTTGACACTTCCCCAGGCCCTGCCCTTTGAGGGAGGGTCTCTGATGATTATCTGGGGAATAGAAGCTCCAACTGGGAGAGGACAGGGATATGGATACTCTAGGCCAGCGGTCATCAACCTTTCGGACCTCACGGACCACCAGTTGGCGACCACTGCTCCGAAGGTTTCCTTAAACCAGCGGTCGCCAACCTTTCGGACCTCACGGACCACCGGCTGGCGACCACCACTCTAGGTCCTTTGCACACGGCCCACTTCATCCCCCTAGTGGAGACCAGTGTCCCGGGTCAGGTTTGAGGCCCAAGCTTGCACCTTTCCAGCTGGGTGGCTTCTGGCAAAGCGGGAGGAAGCCTGGGTATCTTAACACTTAAAGTAGGGCTGTGCTGGCCCCCTGGCCTGGTGTGCTCAGTGCTTGAGGGAGGGTGGGGGTGAGTCACCTGAACTATTTCAGGTTGTGACCTTGAGACCCCTGGAGATACCTCAAGGTCCAAGGGGACCCTAGGGGCACCCGGGGGACAGTGGCAAGCAGGGCTAGGGTAGCCATCTTGGGGTGTTGGTCGCCTGGATGGGGAGGAAAATGAGGAGGGGCGAGGCTGGTCTGATTCCATTTACTCTCTGGAGCTCAGAGGCCAGACAGCAGATGGTGGAAGGGGGTGGGAGCCACCACAGGGGGCTCCTCTGATGGCTGATCGATCCTCAGATGGGGTTGACCTCCATCCTCCTGCTCTCAGCAGCCCCATCTGAGCCGACCCCCCCCTACCCCCAGGGCTGGCAGAACAGAGGGGCCAGCAGAGCAGCTGGTGCAGTCTGCAAGAAAGAGGGCGGGCCTTGGAGAGAGACGTCCTGGGAAGTGTAGTGCCTGCCTGAGCATTACACAAAGGCCTCTGTCAGCTCTGAGGCCTGGACCCCACTCCCAGGGCAGCCCTGGGTCGGGACAGTTCCATCCTGGCCTTGTACCCTGCTGGACCAACCCTGGGCTCCCTTGCTGGGCCACCTACCTGAATCCCACTCACAGCACTGCAGGAGGGATCTGGGTTAGAGTTGGGCTGGGCTGCTTGGCTGAGAGGCTGGGGTCCTTAGGAGGCTGAGGAAGGCCCAGCTCAGCCCACTCCCTGCTGTCCACGAGCTGTGGCCCAAGAGCCAGCTGGTTGGGCCTGGAGGAATGTGGGTTGTGTTGGGTGGCTTGGGACAGCCGGGGGCTCCCCGGAGAGGGTGGAGGGGTGGGGACAGGAGCCAGAGGGTTGCACAAGCGCCCGAGTGGGTGGATGAGTCACAGCCCAGGGGAAGGCGGAAAAAAGGAGGGGTGGGGAGAGGGGTGGGACAGACAGACAGAGTTCTCTCAATGGCCTGCTCTTCCAAAGGCTTCTGCCCATTTGACAGATGGGGAGATTGAGTCCCAGAAAGTGGCAGGGCCTTGTCCTGGCTTTACAGGGCAGTCAGGGGGGTTGAAAGCTGGAGAGAGCTGGGCAGGCAGGAGGCCCTAGCTCCCTGCTCCTCCTTGATGGGGTGGCTGGGGTGACAGGTGGCCTGGTTTCCCCATTATTCACTGCCAGGGCCAAGCTGTCCTGGGGCTCCAATGGGGCAGAAAGGGGTTTGTCCTTCAGAGTCACTGCCACCCCACACCAGGGCAAACCCATGGCCTCAGTGACCCCAGCTAGGCCTTGGCTTCAGAGGCCCCCAAGAAAACTAGGCCTCACCATGAGGCAGTGAGGGTCAGAGAGGCCGAGGGGACTGGTGGGGATGCACAGCCAAGCCAGTTGGATATTGGTTGGGGCAGAGGTATGGGGCCTTGGGCACATGGGCTCCTCTCCCTGAGCCCTGTCTTCACATTTCTGCAGTAGAGGTGGTGCTGCCCTATGGCACTGCCGGGGGCTCAAGCATGACAGTGTACAGTAGGAGCCTTGTGAATATCACCACCATGGCCTCCTAGGGAGAGTATGGGTAGAAGCCTGCACTCACATTCATTAGGAAACAACTTGTATTGAGGCATTTATTGAGCACCTACTGTATGCTCCCGCATCACCTCACATTGCCCTTTGGCATGCCTGTGAGCCCTCTAGTGAAGGGGCGGATGCCAGTCTTCATCTCTCAAGCAACCAGTGTGAGTTTTGCTAGCATCATCTCACGTTCTGCAGAACCAGACATGGACTGCCCTGGTGCACATCTGGGGAAACAGGGTGGGTCCCTCCCATATTCACGACCACCCCTTCCTCTCTGGTGCTGTAGGTCTCGGCGCGGAAAATGGCCGGCGGCGTGGACGGCCCCATTGGGATTCCGTTCCCCGACCACAGCAGTGACATTCTGAGTGGGCTCAACGAGCAGCGGACACAAGGCCTGCTGTGTGACGTGGTGATCCTGGTGGAGGGCCGCGAGTTTCCCACGCACCGCTCAGTGCTGGCGGCCTGCAGCCAGTACTTCAAGAAGCTGTTCACTTCAGGCGCCGTGGTAGATCAGCAGAACGTGTACGAGATTGACTTCGTCAGTGCCGAGGCGCTCACAGCTCTCATGGACTTTGCCTATACGGCCACGCTGACTGTCAGCACAGCCAACGTGAGTGACATCCTCAGTGCTGCCCGCCTGTTGGAGATACACGCCGTGAGCCACGTCTGCGCCGACCTCCTTGACAGGCAGATCCTGGCAGCCGATGCGGGCACTGATGCTGGGCAGCTGGACCTGGTAGATCAAATTGATCAGCGAAACCTCCTCCGTGCCAAGGAGTACCTCGAGTTCTTCCAGAGTAACCCCATGAACAGCCTGCCCCCCGCAGCCGCTGCTGCAGCTGCTGCCGCCGCCAGCTTTCCATGGTCAGCCTTTGGCGCATCTGAGGATGACCTGGACGCCACCAAGGAGGCCGTGGCTGCAGCTGTGGCTGCTGTGGCTGCAGGTGACTGCAATGGCTTGGACTTCTATGGACCTGGCCCCCCGGCTGAGCGGCCCCCAGCCGGGGATGGGGACGAGGGCGACAGCAACCCGGGTCTGTGGCCAGAGCGGGATGAGGATACCCCTGCAGGGGGCCTCTTTCCACCCTCCGTGGCCCCTCCAGCTGCCACACAGAACGGCCACTATGGCCGGGGTGGGGAGGAGGAGGTCTCACTGTCAGAAGTAGCCCCAGAGCCAGGGGACTCTCCTGGTTTCCTGTCGGGAACAGCTGAGGGTGAGGACGGCGATGGGACCGATGCGGACGGGCTTGCGGCTAGCACACTGCTACAACAGATGATGTCGTCAGTGGGCCGGGCGGGGTCAGCGGCGGCGGGGGACAGCGACGACGAGTCCAGGGCAGATGACAAGGGTGTCATGGACTACTATCTGAAGTATTTCAGCAGTACCCATGACAGCGACGTCTACCCGGCTTGGTCGCAGAAGGTGGAGAAGAAGATCCGGGCCAAGGCCTTCCAGAAGTGCCCCATCTGTGAGAAGGTCATCCAGGGCGCTGGCAAGCTCCCGCGGCATATCCGGACCCACACCGGTGAGAAGCCCTATGAATGCAACATCTGTAAGGTCCGATTCACCAGGTGAGCCAGCGCCACTGGCAGGGGTGGAGGGTGTTGGGTGGCTTCCTGGGTCCTTTGCTCAAATTGCAGCTACGTGCAGACACACACACACACACAGCCTCCAGGGACGTAGGCAGCAGCACCATATTCATTTTGGGGTGCCCTCCCCCCAGTGTGTCCCTTCAGAGCAGCCTTTGGGTGCAGGCACTAAACCATATGACTGCATAGAACATAAAACATGCCAGGTGGTGCCTCAGGAGCCGGGAGAAGGAGCACCAGGGTTGATTCTTGGGACTGGAGGAGAGTTTTTGCTTTGGGAGAGGCCAGCAGCCTAGTAGGGAGCAGGGAGCTCAGTTGTTTGAGTCACTTTAAGTCTCCTGTGAGTCTGGAAACTTACTTCATTCAGCCAACATTTATGGGGCACCTTCTGGGTGCCAGGCCCTGTTCTAGGCGCTGGGGATGCAGAAGTGGAGAGATAGGCCAAAATCCCTGTGGACAAAGCTTGCGTGAGATAAAATCAAAGAACTGATAACACTAGCTGGTGGGACGTGAAGAGAGCCGAGAACAAAGGGAGGGAAAAGCTGTGGGTGCTGCTTTAAACAGAGCCGAGACCTGAAGGAGGTGAGGGAAGGAGTCGGGGGAAGGTTCAGGCAGAGGGAACAGCCCGTACAAAGCCTCTGAGACCAGTTCAGCTCAGGGACCACTGCAGTCAGGGGAGGGAATTGGCGCAGGAGCCACTGGGCTTGGTCCTTGGGCAGGAGTTTGAGGTCTGGCTGGGAAATTTGTGATTTGGTCTTAAAAGTCCAGAGGTAGCTGACTGGGCCTTGTGGGCCAGTCTAGTGGGGGTGGAGGGGTTGACGTGCAGGGGCCTGGCCAGGCTGGGTGACTCAGCACCACCCCCTACCCCCACCCACCCTGGGGTTCCCCCAGCCACACCCACCCAGACTGAAGAAAGAAGGCATTGTCCCAGCTTCCCAGCTCTGCCCCTTGGGAATAGGACCTGGGGGCTGACCCCTGGCCCCTTTCCTACAGGCCAGAACAGGAGGGTGTGGCCTGGAGTGCAGGGCCCAGGAATATCAGGCAGGGGGCAAAGGACAGCTACCAGAGGCAAGCAGTGTAATTGGTGGCCTGGCTCACCCCTTTGGTGAGATTGTGGTTCTTTTAGTTTTGGGGGCTCCATCCTCCTCCAGATGGGGCATGGAGGTGGCTATGGGCCTTGCCCTTCAGGGTCTCTGCACCTGAGAGGAACGGCTTCGTGAGGGCTCAGCAAGCCAGGGTCTGCAGAGGTGAGCAGGCTGACCTATGACCCCAACCACAGGCCTCAGGCTATTTCATTCTGACCTGGAGTTCTCTTGGCCATCCTATTCCCAACCCAGGGCTGATCCCATTTGCCAGTCAAGGAAACTGAAGCATAGAGGTCCCAGGCCAAACCTCTTTCCCTCATGCACTCACCTGGCTGCTCTCTGTCCCTGACCCGGGGCCCCAGCCCCCACCCCTTCCTCCAGGCCCAGGAGCCCAGAGGCCCCTCTGAGTCACATTAGAGAGTTGAGTAAGCAGGGCCTGTGGCAGCGGGGCTATAATTACGCTGGCCACGGTTTGGGGTGATGAAACTGGAGCTGACTCCACCTCGCAGCCCCTGACCCGCTGTGCAACTCGGTGCAAGTCACTTCCCCTCTCTGAGCCTCAGTTGGGGAAATCTCTGTATTCTCCTCGCACAGTCTGAGTCCCTGCTGCCCCTTCTGTGACTGGCCCCATGCAGTGGTCTGGGCAGAGCACCTGGGAGACGTGGTAGAGCCCCAGGCAGGAGGCCAGTTATCGTCCTCCTATGGATAAAAAGAGGGATTCAGAGAGGTTCAGCTTTTGCCCAAGACCACACAGCAAGCAGGGCCCAAGGCCCTCTTTAGACCTTTGAGCGGCCTCTGGCTCCTTGTCCCATTTTACCCAGAACTATCCCTAGCCACAGCCTGCCTTTCGGTCATAGTTTCAGCCTCAAGGTCAGCATGAGTTGGGCGGTTGTCCGGGAAGGGGGTCCAGCACAGCGCCCACTGACCCTTGCCCCCTCCACAGGCAAGACAAGCTCAAGGTGCACATGAGGAAGCACACAGGTGAGAAGCCGTACCTGTGCCAGCAGTGTGGGGCGGCCTTCGCCCACAACTACGACCTGAAAAACCACATGCGTGTGCACACCGGCCTGCGGCCCTACCAGTGTGACAGCTGCTGCAAGACCTTCGTCCGCTCCGACCACCTGCACAGACACCTCAAGAAAGACGGCTGTAATGGCGTCCCCTCACGCCGTGGCCGCAAGCCCCGAGTCCGGGGCGGGGGGCTCGGGGGACCCGACCCTGGCCCTGGGGCCACTGCACCGCCCAGCGCCTCCGCCCCACCTGGCTCCCCTGAGGCCCGGCGCAATGGCCAGGAGAAGCACTTTAAGGACGAGGACGAGGACGAGGAGGAGGCCAGCCCTGATGGCCTGGGCAGGTTGAATGTAGCGGGTGCTGGTGGAGGGGGTGGTGATGGGGCCACTGGGAACCCTGCCGACGGCAGCTTCGCGGCTGGACTCGCCTGAAAACCAAAAAGAGAAAACAAACCCGAGAGAGAGAGAGGAGAGAGAGAGAGAAAATCACCCACCACCCCCCAAAAAACACAAAAAAAATCTATCTATATACAGCTATATCGATATATATATATATATATATATACAGATATATATATATGAAGCATCACAAGATCTAGGATAGTGCTTTTCTCAGATTTTTCTCTTTCATGAAGTTCTCTCCCTCCATGGGAACTCTTGCCCTCCACCCCCAACTCCCCTTTCCCTCCACCCCGTCGATGGGTTTCGGGGCTTGGTTTGGGGTTTGTGGGACACGGGTTCCGAGTCCCCCCCACCCACTGGGCGGCCCCGCCATGGGGTCTGGGATTCCATTCGAGACCTGGGCAGGGTCCCAGGTTCTGGGCAGGGATGAGGGCTGCTGTGGGGGGGAGGGGGCGAGGCAGGACTGGGGTGGGCTTTAGTTTTTCTCCCCTTGCTGGTTTCTATGAGTCTTTCAGACAAGACCTTAAATGATTTCTGTCCGCTGTGAGCGGACGTTAAAATGGTCCCTGAACCTACCCCCACCCTCCTTCCTCAGGGCACTTATTAAGTGGGGGTCTTCCCCCTCGATCTCCCCCACAGCCTCCTTGCCTCCTATCCTTGTCTGTGGTCCCCTGTATCTCCTGGCCACTGCAACACAAACCTATTTATTTCCAGGTGTGGAGAAAGGGGAGAAGACGGGAAGAGGGGGCACCAGGATGGCTCCCAGGGGCTTTTGTTGCCTTCCTTCATGGCACTTAAAACCCAGTGGGGCACCCAGGGGCCACCTCTCGGAGCGCCCCCATCAACTCTGTCTGTGTCCCCTGACCCAGGTCATTCAGACCCCCATTTCAAGTTTGGAGATTTAAAACTTGTCTTCACCCCCTCCCCACCTCTCCCCTTAGCCCTCTTCCAATTTTTTAAAGCACTTTTTAGATTGTTTTCCCCTCTTTTCCTCCTTAAAAACAAAATTTATATATATATATATATAGAAAGAGAGAGATATATATATAAGATATAACTTTTCCTCAGAGGAGCAGACAACAGTGTGGGGTGAGACAGCCAAGGGCAGAGGGAACCCAGGGTCTTACGGTGGCAGGGAAGAGGGAGAGAAGAGTCCAGAAGTTCCAATGTCACAAAAGCAATAAAAAGATTTTACAAAACGAAAGGAAACAAAAACATGACAACCAACCCCAATAGAAGTCTTGGCACTTTGTAACAGAACGGGTACTATACTTTATCTTAATTTAAAAACATGTTTACAAGTTGCAACCAACTTCTATGAAAAGTTGAAAAGACAAAAAAAAAATAAAAAGAGAGAGAGAGAGAGCGAGCGAGAGCGCAAAAAGATTCCTAAAAGCTGATTTATTTTTGTACAAAATAATAAAAAAAAACAACCCCACCACAGATGTAGAATCCAATTCTGTGCCCCAGATGAGAAGGGAGTAGGAAGGCCATGGGGACATGGGTGAGGTCAAGGTCTTCTGGGTGAATCTGCTTCACCAGGGGGGCTTGCCTGGCAGGCAGGACTGGGGTTTTGTATTTCTGCCATGTCCCCCACTCCCTCCCATTCTGTCCCTTTTTTGGTTCTGATTTAGAGATGTCTCATTACCCACTAGCCATACAATGGCCACCCATGTCTGTGGGGACCCTCCTTACTGACTTCCTAGCTCAGGGATGGGCCCAAGAGAGGGCTGGCCTTTCAACCAGCCAGAGCAGTCCAGTTCCCCCCAACCTACCCCCTCTCCTTGCTGTTCCCCCATCCTCACCACTTACTGGCTTCCCGCCTTTCCTTGTGGCCACTGAGGAGCTGCCATCTTGGATATGCCATCCCCTTTGAGGTGGGTGACAGGAGGCCCCACCTCCAGGGCCTTACACCCCCCAAAGCACCCCTCTTTTTACTCAAAGGCACTGACTGTCATCTGGGGGCTGGCACCTGGCTCCCCAAAGGCTCGGTGTTGACCGAGCCACAGGCCACGGACGGGGGCCAGGGCAGGGAAACCATGTTACCAGAGGCCAGGGCACCTTTACCCCCTCTTGCATATGCAACGCCTAGTGTGGGACCCTGTATATAGACACATCCTGCTGAGCTGAGATCCTTCCTCGTCAATGCCCAAGGTCGGGGGGGGGGGGGGGCCCCTGCCTCTAGTCGCTGGCCCGTCTCCTGGTACCCTTTTGCTCTGTGACAAACCCCATCTTCTCATTTCCTTTTTCATTTTCTTTTTTTAAAGGGAAGCTTTTTAAGAAGGCAACTTTCATCATTGTTTCTACAGGATAGGTTTCGTCTCCTCCCGGCCTCCGCCAGCCCCCCAAATGTCTCAGGAACCCCCCCTCCTGAGGGGGGTGGCAGGGGAGCCCAGGGCCAGGTGGCCTTGTTCATACCCCAGCATCACAGGGCCAGATTCAGAGAACCATCTGTGGAGGCCAAGCAGAGAGCTTGAGCACCCAGGCCAGGGACTGCCCCCCATCCCAGCTTCCAGAGGTTCCCTGAGGGGTGAGCCCTCTTCCCCTACCCACACACCTCCTTGCAATAAAACCAACTGAAAAATCAGCCGTCGTCCTGGCCAGTGGGGGTGACGACTTGGGGAATTGAGGCCTCTGGGACTATGGTGGGGGCACGGGCTGAACCCCGCCAAGCACACTTTAACACAAAGCTCCTTGGGAATTGCACTAAACCCCTACCCCTAGCTCTGCACCCAGCTTTCACCAGCCCTGCCCACCCATTTCGCCTTAACCCCTATTCTGCTGCCCGCCAGTCTGTCCCGGGGGCCACAGCCTCTGCATGGGCCCAGAGCCGGGACCCCCACCCACCCGGCCCAGCCCCCTAACTCTGCGCAATCACATACTGTATATAGATGTGGATCGATTTTATTTTTATTCTTTAAATTAAGGTTGTGATAAAGTGTTGCCAAAGATACTGCTGAATTCTCGCGTTTCAGGAAACAAATATTTGAGGGGGAACGTGCTGACTGGTCGGAAAGGACACAGCAAAAAAGTGTTTTTGTTTGGTTGTTTGGGGTTTTCTTTGGTGTTTTCTTTCTTTGGGGTGTTTTTTTTTAACTGCCTGGTACAAAAAAAAAAAAGACAAAGTGAAATTGTTATTTCCATCATCTTGGTGAAATTGTGTGGATGTGTGTGTGCGCATGTGTGCGCGAGTGAGGTCTAGGCTGGGGACTTCTGATGGAGGCTGGGGGCGGGGGGAGCTTGGGGGCAGGAGTAGTGGGCCTGGCAGGATGGGGGGCCCTGAGCCCCCACCTGGATCAGTCTCCAGCCTGCCAGACTGGGAGAGAGAGATAAATGTTCTTGCTGCTGCTCCCTGCCTAGTCCCCCACCCTGACCCTGACCCTGCCTTTTGAGATTAAAAGAAAAAAAAAGGCAAAAAAAAAATAAAAATTAAAAACCAGTGAATGTAAAGTGCCGGACCAGGCCCAGCCTGGCATGGGTGTGGGCCTGTGCCCAGCCGGGCTCCAGTGGGCCATACCAAAGTCTGCCCCCTCGGGCAGCCCACCCAGGAGACCCCATGTGGCCATCTCTTCTTGTCACCCTGTTTATACAGGGCTGTCCCTCTGCTTCCTTCCGAGGGGGGTTCTCAGGTTGGAAGGGAGGGGCCCCCAGCTCCCACCTGGGTCTTCTGGGGAGTCTGCACTACTGAGACCCATCAGCTGTGTCGCACATGGTGGGACCGAGGCAGGGGCCAGGGCCCCCAGAACCGAGGCCATCCAGGCAGCCAGGATGTAGGAGGCAAAACAGAGACTGAAAGGAAAAAAAAAATTTAAAACCAACAAAAAAAGCAAAAATCCTATTTTTTGAGAAAGAAAGATATTTATATTTGCAGTTTTATTTTAAAAAAGTTATTTAAGCTGAGGAAGCAGCCTTCCTGGAATGGTGGTGTTGGCCGGTGCACGACGGGTCGGCCTGGGTCTTGGGCACCCAGGAGTCATAACCTCAGAGTTTAGACTATCTCGCACTAAATATATAAATTTACATGGAGGTGGGATGGGGGCAGGACCAGGAGATGAGGGGGCTGGGGAGACCCCCATCCCACGGCCAGGGCTGCCTGGAGGCCAACGGCCAGGGGTCCTGTGCCAGGTACCCCCAACCCCACCCAAGCCCAGACATGAGGTGCCTTGGACTTTGGGGGACCAGGCCTGGTGAATGGGGAGTTGGCGGTGGCGCCCCTGGGGGCACAGAGCACAGACATTCCATAGACTGTATTTGAGAGTCTTTATAAAATGTGGGAGATCTAAAAAAAAATGGTAAATATGCACTTTTGGGGGGTGGGGGGAGAAGCTTTAAAAGTAATAAAAACAAAAAGACAAAAGGTGAAAACATAAAAATCATTTTTCTTGTACATAAAAAAAACCACTAAACGCAGCCTGTTACGACCGCTGCTGCCTCATTTGCTTGATTTTGATGTTCTTTTGTGTTTTGTTTTTGGGGGAGCCTGGGGAGTGGGGATGGAGGGCTTAGGGGCTCCTTCCCCATGGGTTGGGTCCCTTGTTTATAGCACTTGGGGGTCCCAGCTTGGGTTCCAGAGAGAGGACCCCATGCTAGCCTCACTCTTCTTGCCAGGCCTGGGAGGTGAAGTGGGGAAGGGAGGGGTCTGGACAGTGACTCTTGCCTCTGGGCTCCAGGGTGGGGTAGGTGTCTGGCACCCTAGGTGAGGGCAGGTGGCTCCAAGAAGGGGCCTGAGGGACAGTGGGGGCAGGCAGGAAGAACCTGCTAAGCGGGCTCCTTGGACACCTCCTACTACAAGGTTTCTGGAGGCCCTGGGTAGGGAAGCCTACACAGGGAACCCCAAGTTTGCCAGGGGCCTCCAAGGTGCAGCCCCCTGTTGGGCTCCAGTGACCTGATCAAGGAGCTGAGCTGGCTGCTTCCTCCATATCCCCAGGGAGAAGGTTGGGCTAGGGCCCATTCACTGGGGAGGAAAATTGTGGGCTGCAGCCCTCATCTCTGGGTTGGGGTCCCCAAACATGGCCACTTACAGGGCCCTGGGGAGAACCCTCCTCCTTCCCATCCCTCAGTTGGCCTCAGGCCAGCAGGGCCTGGAGTTGGGGTGGGTGACAGTGGC